GGGCACGTTTTAGTCCGTTAACGTTAGTTATGCGTCAGAGAGTGCGGGAAAACTTCGGAGATACGACGCCTACATTTTGGTCATAATCAGACCTTTGAGCATCACACTGCTTACTTTCGACATCTTCAACTCGACTTTAAGGCTAAAGAAAAAAAGCTTGAGCTGCTAAGAAACGCCACTTTAAGCAAGGCAGATTGAAACCAGTGTAAAGTAATCTACTGAAAATTGACTAAGCAGATCATTATCTGTTCATATATTTTCGTTTGTTTGGTGTCAATTTCCGCTTCTCAGCTGCAAAAATTAGTGCGAGGCTGGCTGAAACGGCACAAAATCCTTAGTTCCCTCCCTACCTTTGTTCTTCTGTTCTACATTTTTATTAAAGAATTATCATCGAACTCTAACCATTTGAAGCTTGCGAAAGCGCAAAAAGCTCTTCACCACATTAGGAAAAACAAACACGAAATAATTTTATTTAAATCAATCAAATTTAACGCAACGCTTCCATTCGAGGTTTTAGAATAGGTTAGCTCCATAGACTGACCAGCGAGAATCGAGCAAAATCAATAGCTGACTTCGCATCCACCTCATTCATATATATCGACTGGCTGAGTGGAACATTATTCCCTACAGCACGTATCTAAAACTTCTCAAACATTTGGGATCGAGCTCTAATATCAGCTGAGAATCAGTAGGCTCTTTTGTACTGCTATCCTGAGCCCCGCACGTCTAAAATTCGATTCCAATTATAATTACAATGAAAGATCCGACTGGACATAGGATAAAAGCAAAGTTTACGCACATACGAGTAACATATACGGGCCACTGCTCGTAGAGCTTTCGTAACTTAAAGATGTGCTGGAGAGAAGCCAGGTCCACTACCGAACAATGTCTTTATGTGTACCGTACCCTTAACAATGTCGTGCCTACCTATGCTCAACATGCAGATGTTGAAGTAACGAAACGTTCTAACGGCCTGTAAAGTGCCTAGCTTCTGCAAAAACAGCAACTTTCGATATTAATAGTAACTTTCGGTTGGGCATAGATGCGCACTGACGTGTCCGGTTTAATTCTTTGCGCTAACTTCAAGAAGCTGTACGAGGCTAGGTAGGCGCTGTATTCTGTAGCCTCGCAGCATTTAGGGTAAAAGCTCGCTTCGTTCGGGAACATAAGGTCCACAACTGTCCAAAGAGAAGTTCGGACTTCATTTATTGTTGCTTGTTAGTCCAAAAAGTTTTTATTTGAGAAACTTACTTAACTAAATACGAAAGAATGGTCTATAAAAACTATAAAGCGATGATTTACTGTCTACCGAAATGCATAGTTCCAAGTTCAAGTTGTCGTGGTAATTCCGGGGCAATACTTTACACCAACTATCCATTCACTATCCGTATCAACTTGGAGAAAATTCAGTCATTTAGGAACCATCTAACAACTTGGATGGATAACCTGCTGATCATTTGAGTGACTATCTGGTAACCAGCACATTTGATAAGTTAGTTATCATGATGATTTTAGTATCCCCAGTGAGCCCGTTATTTAGTCAGCAAGGAAGATAATTCACAATTTTTTTCCAACTTAAGTTTGTCTTGCGGAAAGACATTGGCCTACTTTTTCATTATTTCAATCGTGTTGTTGTACCTGTCGTCGAATATAACTTGAATAATATGTAGTCGATATCGCACTATTTAGATTTCGGAACGCAATACACAGGTAAGATAACAAACTCATCATTTCCATAGGTGGTCTCAAGTACTGTCGTGCAACAGAAAAAGAAGCTTTCGGGTAATGATTGACTTCGATTACACCTTCCCATGCCGAACCCCTGTTACGAACACACTTCTGCTAGGCGGACCTAAAATTTACTAGAACAGAAAATGTAGTCAGATGGACCTTATAAGATGGAGCTAGTTAGTAGTCGCATGAACGCGTTCGCCATAGAAAAACTCCTAGTTCATCGATCATAATCAAATCTATATGTATATCCGATTAAAAAATGGCTAACTGGGAGTCCCGTAGGCTATTGACGGTAGCTAGGTGTGCTGCGACCGGACCTACTCTTAATTTTCGTTAAAACCCTTCGTAAAAAATGTGTGCGCTCGATCAATTGAATTGTGTTTATTACCAGAATTTATTAGTCACAGTGAATGTGATGCTTTTCAGCTAACATTACGTAATGAATCATTGCTTTAGCAACACTGCACTATATTTTAGGATCGGACATTTTTTTGCGGAAACACAACAAGTACATTAGCATTCTGCTAGTACCTTTTCTCCGGCTATCGGTGTAGTTAGACATTGTCCTGACAGTAGACACGTTCTCTAAGGTATTTAGCTATGAAAGCTATAACATGTTATGGTTAAGGTACAGAATCTTCAATTGAGGTCTATATAAGTTTCCTCTGACCGTGTGCATGAATTATTAGAATAGCAATGGGTAAAAGGAAAACCGATAATTAGAACACTAGCTTAGTGGAAATCCGCCGAAAATAATTGAAAAACTAAGTAGAGGAATAACTTATTTCCAACCTCTTCGAATTTGTACCAAACGCATATACTGTCGATGGTAGATCGATTGTGGAAGTATTCATTTGGCATACTCGATATGTGAAGGATTATCGAAAGTAACTGAGCCGGTGTGTTGAGAAGTAAAAATTTATCTGGCGAACATACAACTATAGGATTACGGGGTATCATTTCTCGTTCCATATCTTCGACGGATGATAACAGCGTTTCATACATATGGTAAAAACCAGAAATTAAATACAGCATTGCAAACGCGGTACAAATAGTCGAGGTGTTTTACTGGGGCCAATCGACTAATTTAGGAAAGATGTATCACTTCAACATAAGACGCTAACACAACAATATATTTTTTAACTCAGCTCAGACTCCACAGGGTCATATTTGGAATATCATTTTCCATAAAGGTCACAATTAATATTTGAACAGTTTTTACGAGGCCTGTTTATGTGTGATAGTCTTGACTCGTTATCGCCAGCTTTTAGCCTCGGATTAAATGGGGTAAAGTGTTAAACTCGGGTTACGAGTTATCGGTACTCGTTTGCCGATAATGGCTGTATTCCCGCATCAGAGATTATTCTTCTCGAAGCTTTAGGCTCGCTTTTGCGTTAGGCACGAGACCTAGCTAAATTTCTTCAAGCTAATTTCATGTACAACTATATATATATATATATATACCAAGGTAACCCAAGCGTTGATTAGAATGTAAAAGCTAAATGGCTGCACACAGTACTCGTATAGTAATTTACACGAGCGGGTTTGCGCCGCTTTTGGCAACTAAAAAATAACGTTCCCTAATGGAGTTCCCTAAATTCTGTCGAAGTAAACGATATTTTCGTATCGATATTACGTAAATTAAAACATGATTCATGTTCAAATGGCGGAAACTAGGCACAATATTTTGGTAGGTGCAACATAATTTCAGTAACGACTGGGCATGGAAGTAGTTACATTGTACGAATGGAACTTTCATGTAAGTTGCCCTATGACAAACAATCACTTAGGTGCCTGAACAGAAAATGTAATTCGGCTTTCACGTATGTGTGCTTCTAGCCGGGTACAGCTTTGTGCTTTATGTTCATAAGAAGGCTATCGGTGGGAACGTTGTTAAAATTTGTTATGCAGTGCACATTGCGGTCGCAGAGGGTCTAATATATGTAAATATTTAAGTGGGTTTCGGGGTTATTTTTCAGGCCCCTGTGGTCCAGTATTCATTCACGTACGATCTAATATGCATAAATCTTAAGAGCAGCTATGCATTCTACACTTTTTCGAGATTCCGGTAAAATCTTTAAGGTATATAGGAGATCTCTATGTAGATATCTGTTTAAATTAACGTGCTTACACGAACACGTCAGACTCTGTGCGTCGGCCATAGTATTGTCTATAAGAAGAGCCGTTTTCAAATGAAACTCTGATCCCTAGTTTACCCAATTGTCCACAATTAGAGTGATAACCAGGTAGCAACCTAAGCCTAGACGAATTTATCTTGGTCATACCATTTTTAGATACTTTTGGTATATCGCTGCTACGACTGAATGGCCACCTTACAACTGTCCATACGTGTAAACCAACTAAAGCGTAGATAACGCAGTTGACAGGATGCCTACGCCTTTTAACCTTAAGCGCCTACCAGCTGACAGGCAACATATGCGCTTTAGGATTGTACGCAGTTCAAGATGTAGCTGCGTAGGGATGAGGGCTAGTATTGAGTTAATTACACTCGAACCGAATACGGACCAATCAAACTTATGAAGTATGGACTAAAACTGCTATAAATTACTGCGTTTTTTTTTTTTGTTTTTGTTTTTTAATAATTCGCTAGTTTATGACCATTTTTTGAGCTGATATGTTGAGAATGTATGCGTATGGTGTATGTGTTTAATAATATGATCAATGCGATTCTACAAACGATTCTCTTTTGTTTACCATGAGCTTATTATTGCCCATCTCAGGCAGTGATAGCTAGTAAAATGTTTTCTCTATTCTCGGAATAATCATGTATGGTGCTGATAAATTCTGCTCGATACGCCAGCGACAATGTGAGGACAACTGATATTAATGTTCTGAACAGATGTCTCAGTCTACGAATACATTAGGTAATCAGTTAATTTCTTCGAGGTTCATTCCCTATCTAACCACAAAAGCAATTACGTGATGACAGCGTGCCACTGGAACGGAAGTACTACCGTGAATTGATTTCCTAAGCAGCCCTATTGTTCGGAAGTTGCTATGTCTCCACCACCGCTTCTTTACTTTTCTTTCTTTTTTCTTACTAACCGGTCGGAGAATTGGTCACGTTGGTCAGAGGCTGTGTCATCAGAAGGTCAGCCCGGTTGGCACACTACGACATGCCACTATCGAAACCCCGAAGATCAGCAACGGTCGCTCGCCGTGTTGGCCCCATTGAGAAACTGCTATTAAGGACATTCTGAAAGCCAGTAGGTCGACAGAAGCTCATTCAGCAGTAGCAGAGTCTTTCTAGTTTGGTAAAGCGTAGAGTGAGGCGTGCGTTGTTGTGGTTCGAACCTTAGGTTCAGTCGGGAAGTGGCGGCCGCTTGGCGCTCTAGTCTGGGCCTGGGAATGCAGTCTCGGCCGGGCACCACCTAGAGTAATAGGGCGCCCTCGGCTAGGTTCAGGCCGAACCTGCTATTCTTGCGAAAGCAAAATACCCAAAACCTTCAAAGGCTAAAAAACAAACAGACCGACACTGCGTAACTGCGAATTCGAAAGAATTTTCTATTATTGCCGCGCTATTTATTGCGTTAAGTGACTGATTACAAATCCGTGAGTTTAATCTTCAATGGTTTTATCGCTGTGGACCATGTGAATGAAAATAAGTAGTCCGATCTGAGCAGGTGAAGAATATATGAACCATGAAATTTCAATATTAGAATGCGCTGAAGCTTGAGCCGTATCTACGACAGGATAAGATTCGAGTATAGTCGAACTTGACGATTTAAATTTGGTGTGTTTATAGCTGATTCGACAATGCCAGGTGCGATCAACTCATCCAGAAACTCCTCATTGTTGTGTACGTTTAAAGGTTTAGCGCTGCTACCAATTTTAGCCATCTCCGCTACTTCTGCTGTAACTATCAAAGATGTGCAGGTTCCGCGCTACGTGGAGAACGCATCAGCCAGCATTGACTTCACATGCGAATTCGTTCGCGGAGAGATGGATGAAAATTTGGTCTTACGATGGGTCCACTCCGGGGACCGGTCTCCCGTATTTACGTGGATACCAGAGCAAGATATATTCCAAGTTTTCGGCGTCTTCGAGGGTCATGTTTCCGTTGACGAAGCACGCAAGATGTCCTCCACAAAAAGTGAAGATCTGACAAGTAAATTCGGAGTTCGTCTACGACAGCCTACAACTGTACACGAAGGCACCTACAAGTGTTACGTCACGTCGGTAGCAAACAGTGATGAGCGTGACCAACAACTCATAATCTACGTGAATCCTCGTGACACGAAACTGTACTACAATATTGAACGACATATGATGACCTGCCGTATCCAGGGCGTCTACCCAGTTCCCAAAGTGATTCTCTATCGTTCGTCGAAAAAGGGTGACCTTATCGAAGAAACTAAATACGTGAAACGAGAAGATAAAAAAAACGAAGATGGTACTTACGACATTGTCGTGAGGAAGTATATAGCACAGCCTCCTCCAGAACGTTTCGAATGCTGGACAGTCCTGGACGTCAATTATAAGGTGTTAGCTAAGGCACATTACACGCCTGGTGAAGGCTCCATTTTGGAGAATGACTCTAGTGGAATAGAGGCAGGACCTAATGGACGCTTCATATATCTAATCGTTTTATGGATAGCACTAACCGGAACGCTTACCTTACTGTTGACGTTATAGAGACACGTAACATTAAAGATTGCCAAATAAATCTAGGTCTATTTATGTAAGCAATTTATTTGTTGTGAGCAATTTTTGTTTGATCATTTGTTGTTATAATTTTGAATATCTGGATTAAAGGAGGCGTTTAACTTCCAGATATTTTGAACTTCCCCGGATTGCTGTAAGAACAAAAATAACTTTCACGTAATAGCTTATTGTTGGAATAGACCTTCAGGTGCGGTTTAATGTCTCGAAGTAGCTTATATACCGTTGACCCAAGACGAGAACTTCACATTTTTACATTTGTTTCCCTACAAAGAATTCAACTAATCATAAAACTCAATGAATGAGAAACTAGAACGCTTGAAGATTGTAATTACGGTAACGAACTATTCGTAGCTTCCGTTTTTTCAAATACGGGCCTGAAAGTCCGATTCGAAAACGTATTTGCAGAAACGGAAACAAAACAACCGTAACGGCTATAGCTACGACCTACGAAATATATTTCCACATGTTTCAACTAGTTAGCGGTTGGGCATATCTAGGCGCAGATTCCCTCAACTAATTTATGTCATTGTAAGATGCTTCTCATTTAGACTCACTTCCAAATCCCATCCGGGTCGTCCACCTAAATGCAGTCTCCACTGGATTTAAGGCAAATATGCCTGGGTTTTTTTCCTTGTCTTCCAAAAATTTCAAGAGCCACAAAACAATCGCAAGATAGAATCCCAAGTAAACATGTTAGGTTTTTACATCCTCTTTTATATTTTACAGGGCGTAATTGTAATTTTTCCTCGAATCGTTAGAAGTTGATGAGGTGGGGAAGCAAGAAAGCAAATTTATTGAGATGTCAAAAGTGCTATTAATGTAACGGGGTATCGAGACTACGTGAACATCCCAACAACGCTAAATCTAGCGGGACGAGTAGTTGGGGTCCTATATGGTTTCTGGCTGCATATACAAGCAATTTATATGTTACGATAGATGTTATAATTATACGACTACTTAAAAGGAACGACCGATAGTCTCCTCAAGTAGTAACGGAGTATTGCCAGTGTAAGTGACTGTAACAGAGCTTTAGGTTACGTTAGATATGATCACTAAGGCCATAGGGTAGATGAACTGTAACGGGATTATTGAAATATGTTGACTCAGAAAGATAGAATTACTGTGACAGGATAGCTGCAACGTTATAACGTAATGGGCGCCGCAAGACCTTGGAAGAGTCGCACCCGTGAAGCTGTAGATCCCCGATCAAACTAAGGTGAGGTAACCTGAAGAAAATTCACGTAGGCTGACTAAATAACGGTATAAATATAATGGGTCAAGTGGAAGATGGTAACTCTTGGCCTGACAGCATATTTTTAACGTACAATCAGCTGTCTGCGCAATGCCTAATTTTTTTCAGCCCGAAAATGTCTATTCGACTTAGTTTTAATTCGACATTTGATATACGACATAGCTAAGAAGCCTGGTGTTGTATAGTTGTAGTTGAAAAGTGGCTCGGAAACTACCATTTCTTCAGCACATATGACCTTATGAACGTACAAACACATGAGCCTTATTTGTGTAAGAGGTATAACGAGCTTTTGTCTTGGACAGCCCAGGTGTCTATAATACGGCAAAAAATAAGCTAACAAATCACTTGTAGACTATATCATTTAGACAAGTTAAATTCTATCCTTCCACGTTGCAGAATGAGATTAGTAGTTGTCGAGGAATCCTGATTGGTCTTGATAGTGTTCTATTACCTTGTCACCGATACTAACAGATTCCAATCAACCAAGTCCGCTTCATTTGAAACACTGAACAAGTCGTTTTTCGGAAGGTAGATTTTCATAAACCTACGTGTTTCGTTACGTCGAAACATTTACGTCATTAAGACTGAATGATTGGTCAACATTCGTACTCAATATTCATTTAATATACACACAGCCATTTACTTACAGTTAGGGAATACTCAACCCACACGTTAGGGAAATGCGCTGCCGTATACCGTTCATTTCCCCAGGCGAAACGGTCGCAGAGAACCGTTTCGGGTAGCTGTAACCCCTGATGAGGGCGAATTGAACCCCAGCCCTGAAAGTATGTATTACGCTTTGCGTTTTTCTAGGCCTTATCGGCGTTGCATCTTGATACCCCGTCATCCAGATTGTCGATGACGGCTATACGCTGCTGTTAATGGACCCTTGAATTTAAACAGTGTGTTCATTTCTGAATACGTGAATAAACGTAGCGAAAGACACGTTCGCAGGGTACGGTCACTACCGCAATTGTCTAGAATATTTAAAGCTTTGACGGATTTCATACCGTATACTAATAAAGGTGCTGGGAGGATAAAACGTTGAGAGCTAGCTGCATCTATTTGGCAATTTTTCTGATATTGGGGCCATAATCCTTCGTAGCGTAGTCGTATCTAAAGGCCCGCACTACGACCACAAAGAGGAAAAAGCACTTAACTCGTGATAAAACATTACATTTAGAAAGCCGGTTGACGTTGATGAGATGTAGGTTCGCTCAAGGAAGTATTAGCAGTGATTGACCGACCGTACGTGACTGCCTGGGGTCTAGTGGTATCATAGAGTCTTAACGTCAGTAATTCTTCAAGCTTACGAAAAACTGAAGATGACAGGCTGGAGCTGAACTAAATTCCTTTAAACGCTCAAAGGAACAGGTATCTCTGCTAATAAGGCATACTTTTTTACTAAATAAGTAAATTAAAAAATATATGTATACATTAGTTCGATTGGCTAGGTGGAATGGGTATGCGCCAGTATGCATGCCAAAGTAATTACGTTAGTAGCCATTAATTTATGAAAGACGTGTCTTTTCTAACTAACAGTATCATTATTTAGTGTAATGGCTTTTGCACTCTCAATTCAACGACTTGTGTGGATTTTTTAGCGAGGGGGATCGCCCAAAGACAATTCGTCTCCCCCCAATTACCCAGCCAATTGCCTTAGCAAAAATAAGGGGGGCGTTTGATTATTTCACAAGGAAGGCGTGGGTACGTCCGTTGTGTCTATCGTTACCTCGTCATATATATTCCTGTATATAAATTGAAATTGGTGTCTAAAAATACGGATGGTCCCTGTACGCTATTCATTTGATAATATATGGAAAGTTGGTATTTACTCTTCTCATTTGAGGCCATCATTTTTATTGATACTTGTAACCGTTGGTGTTGTTGTTGTTAATTGAAAAAATATGGGTGTTATCCTTTATAACGCAGCGTTGGTTGTTAGTCTATTGCAGCTATCTAAACACCGTATTCGTCTTCTGATGTAATGAAATAGACAATGCATTGTCAAGTTTAAATAACGCAAAAAAATGTCCTGTACAGGCATGTGTAGCTTTATTGAGACGGCGAAGCTAGAAGGAGCGCACCGAATGCTAAATAATTGATTGAACGTGTGTACTACAGCGACGGCCATGTGGTAGTAGTAACTTCAAAATGGCGCCAACAACAACAATTGAATATATCAATTGTCCTTTGCTAGCAGTTTTACAAGTTTTTTTTTTTTTATTACAAGCAGTTTGCAAAGATTTTACTTAAACGCAACATTGATTGGGAAATGTTCGTTGTAAACAGTTTTCCGGCCATCGTCTGCACATACATCTAGCCCACCTTTGAAATAGCGGTAGGGGTTTTTTCCTTACGTCTTATTGTTCGTGGACTGTTGTCGAGCACTTTACTTCAGCTACTTTAGGTTGCCCCATTATAGCACTCGAGCAAAGTTGTTTCACATGATCAGGCGGACCATCCGACGTTCGATGATTAGCCAGTAATCTTTTGTTGGCATCATTTCGCCCAGATGGCTATTTTTATACTCGCGACGTGTAAGCCACTTCGCAGTCATACTCTTCAGGAATGGTCTAAATTCGATATTCTTTTAACTATAACAAATAGGCTGACCTACTTGAGATAGAATCTACAATAGGATAATTCGTTCTGCACAAAAGAAACTTCTCGAATACAGTCGCATGATACGTGCTATTTAGTGGTACGACCTTTATACAAAGAGGATTCAAAACGAGGACAAAACGTGTCGGAAGAATCCTCACCTAACCTCCATTGTTTCCCTGAGAAAGGATTTCCACTAAAAAATGCCCGCATCGCAATCGTCAGAGTTTTACTTGCTATTCCAAATAATTCCACGCCATTTTTATCACCAGCATCCTGCCAGTGGACGAATTTACAGGATTACTGAAACGGCTCTCATAAAAATATGGAATGGCGTTTTATAAAGGAAATATGTTTGAGGTAAAAGCAAGGTTTTCAAAATTCCAAGATAATTAAAAGTCTGCTGATTTATTATTTAGATCGGCTAGAAATGAGGTAAAGGTAATCGTCCAGCTTTGGAACTAGCCAGCAAGTCCATGGAAAGGCACCTCTCGTAGTTGCGATAGGAACTTGATAGGTTTAACACTGGCGGTAGAAACAACAGCTTCGTATTCTAAGGAAACAGTTAATCGATCCTTCGTTGATCTAACTCCTTTTTGTATGTGCACTTCCTGCTATTCTAATTCTGGTTTATTGTAATATTTACGACGGTAACACGTTCGTAGTCGTAACGTTTAGCTCAGATACTCGCTAAAAGAAGCGACGATCTTTCTGTACATGTTTGTCAGAGCTTCTTCTTTCTGGCGTATACTTATATCTATGGCGATTCTACTCTGCGCAATAAACAGTTTGAATTGAACCCACTTACGGAGACATTGAAAAAATGGAACGACCGAATAGAGGCGAGCAGTGACCTATCGGAATGATCTACGCTATTGGATAGTTACGGTCGTGTAAGGCTTGTTGGCTCGTTCCGCAGGAGGCTAGGTATACGATGCTCACTACGTGACACTGTGGAATAACCGCTGACTAGCCCAGCTCTCCGTTCCTATAGGGGCGCGTAGCCTTAATTTTTCCACTTGTTCACGTCCTATTGACAGGCCTATTTTATAAACAAAAGCAGCTACTATCATTTCAAAATCTTACAATGACTAAGCAAACTGTTCACAGCAGGTATTCCACTTTCAAAGCAGCCTGACGGCAAACGTTGATATTATTATAATTTACGTTATAATTATTATAATTTACTCTGTTAGTTCGTTTTTGCTGGGAGCGTTATAAACTGGTTTTAGTTCATTAAGTGCGTTTTAAGTGATGATACAATTTATAACATGTACATGCTATCATCCCTTATTGTCAACTTGGAAGCAGCTTCATGTCATCATGCTCGGTTGGATTATTATGTATTTCAACTTCGATGCCAGTAAATTAGAGACAAATTCCATAAAACCGTTTTTATTATATGGAAAGATGTTATAGCTATTGTTTTGCTTTTATCCATTAAGCAGAAATTTTACGAATCCCTTAAGAGCCCATCGTCCATATAGAGGTGGCCCTATTAGAATAATGTCTCTGAAAAACTGTGGCCTTCCAGTACCGAAAATATCCTAAATATGGTCGTATAAAAATCTTTCTTCAAATACAGTATTGTATGGCATAAAGAAGACTACTTTTCACAAATCTGGGATGCACTTCATTAGGCAGTGCAGGTGGACGTTCACAGTCTGCGACAATGAAACTACCCTATTTTGAAAGCCTATCATACGCAGAGGTTTTATAGCGCCCTCATAAGTAGGCGGAAAAAAAATCGCGCTAAGGGGCAGATTCAGCGGCAAGCTATGTTAAGATTCAAACTACAGGTCAGCTTGAAGTTTGGGCTCGTCTAAAAGCGATCGAATTGTAGCGACAAATGCAACCATCATAATTATAGTATACTGCATCACTCCATCTATCAATGATTAAGATTAGCCGACATGATAACGTGGGAAAAGTTAAGTGAAACTTATCTTTCCATATCTCAACAAAAATCGATACGAAGCACGGAACGTTCTTCTAAGCGTACAATCATCGACTCTTGAAAAAACGCCCGATTACGGCATTTCTAAATTACCTGTAAAGGAGAACAATATACTTAACTGTCCTCGATAAGCGTCAATAAAGATACTAGGAATGTTTACGTCGATGTGTAAATTAAAATAAGGGATTAGAATATTGTCAAAACTATAGCATACTTAAAAAGCAATATTATATGTAATATTTAGTTTGTATTAGTTTTAGCGCGTTGAGTAAATTAAGAAGCCTCATATAAATCACGAGTAAAGTTCACTTAATTTGGAGACACTCAGATAACGAGAGGGATTATTATCATCATTTATATCGATGGTCACAAGCAAATCTTTCTCTACTGTTTGTGCCTGTTCAGTAATGATTTAGGCTCATTTTTTTTACTTGCGTGACAAATGAATGGTTGCCTAACTTAGTCCACGCACTCCGGGCACGCTTGTATTTAGACGTTCAAGTGGGTTACGTAGTTGATATCGTCGCCCTAGTATTTGTAGAGTGATTGGGACAACACAAGGGTCGCTTGCTTTATTCATTGTTCCAAATTTGCATTTACAGGCAGATCTTGTTCGATCAAATCTTCTTTGGGTCGGGGTCCCGATAACGAAAACCTCCAGCACATATCAACGTTGAATCGCTGGGACGCTGCTCATTAAAACTGGGCGTCAGCAATCAAGCTAAGCTGACTTGTTATATTGTTGATGATATACACGCGAATTATAAACTTCGATAGAAAATCGTACGTTTTCTATTTTATTTGAAGTTATTCTAAGACACAGATCAGGTTAAAAGTCGTAGAGCCGACGTAACTGGGATATTGCTTTGTATATGTGTACGTACAAACAAATATCCCAGCTTACCGGATATTCACGCGCTCTACTGAGTTCACCGAGCACCAACTAAATATAGTAAAAATGGTACAAAGTAGATCTTGTGCTTCGACTTTCTTCATTTTGAAGCGGGCTGACGGTTTTACAGAATGTAGCTCTAGGCACCTTTCTACGTGATTTAGAAGCTCGGACTAAGTACTTTTGGTATCGCCAAGACATAGTAAAGCTGTCCAGCTGTCTTTCGTTCCCTTCTTATTGAGCCTTTGCAAATCTTGTTCGTCTACCAAGCAGATAATATAAGTTGGCTACTGGCACAAGTTTTATAGTACACAGGGTGTTACAAAATATAATCATAGTAGCTTTATGATTTTTGTTTGTTATTTTCAAGGTGTAATTATCTGGCAATATGAGCGAAGCAAGGTTAACTTTTATGTCGAATGCGTGGATTTGTAGCAGAAGTATTAACACAATCTCGGAGGGAGCTTCAGGCAGATTCACCTATGCGACCTATAATTAATTCGATAAAAGTAACTTTAAAACGAATGGGTTTGTCGAGGTCGTTCGTTTCGGACAACATTTCGGATCCAAATCCAAAAACATCAACCGGCAACCAAAGAGATCATTGCAAAATTATAGCGAATCATCCGAAAAAGATACTCAAGTCGCAAGCTCGGTATCAAGTGTTTTTTGAACGCTGAAATGAAAAAGAACACATGCTATCAATGGAAATGATCCAGACTGAATATTATGAACGATACTTAGGAAAATATGAATAATTCTCTAAACGATGCTTTGAGCGATGAAGTGATTGACTGATTGATTGATGAGCGATTAAAGATGCTTAAATTAAATAGAACAATCAATCATCCATCACGAATCAACAGCTTACTGTTACCAGAACGGTATTAATTTGCTATGAAAAGAAACGTTATATATTTTATGCAGTTTGTTTCGCCCTCTAAATGTTAACTTATATAATATCTTATAAAATAACAAACAAAGTATTAAACTATAATTATTCAAATTGTGTATACATTTTTGGAACATTTAAGAGGCTTGACATGATCCGTTCAATGGGTCGTTAGGCCAGCATCGATGTCAGCTTCGAGACACTGTTACAGCTCATTTGTTTCATAAGGCTCTTTACCTGCATCATCGATTTTAATATTCCCTTCTCCACTAAAAATGAGACAAGCCCGCGTATATCAAACAGAAAAGGCTAGAAAAAACGGTAGAATTAAATCTCAATAGAATAGCAGATTAATTCAGAGATACAACGAAACGTCTGATCTATCCGTGGCGACGAGGACCCTGTGATTCTAACAATTCGTCGACTGCAATGTGAGCCCTCTAGGAAGTCTTACAACAAAAAACAAGAAATCGATGAATATCTAGGTACAGAAAATTGTTTAATAATGTGAAAAGGTCATGCACGTAGGCGTTGTTCCGGAAGAAGTAGGAAGAAGCAAGCGGCGCATCACTAGCATCCAAGAACCCTGCTAACGGTCTGTAAGTGGCATATCAAACCCTACGTATGATATATAAAATGTTCAGATCCAGCTGCAATCGTTATAATGATATGATCCGAAATGATGGGCAGGTAAGAAAGCCAACGTTAAATTTTCCAACCAAAGTTACATTCTCTCGCTTTCTTTATAGCATATTCTTTCTTCTACAAAAATATTCCAATATATTATGTGCAGGCTTCATTAAGGCTCAATAAGCTCTTCGGCTAGAACGCTGTTATCTATTGAAAGATTTAACTGCTTTCAAACGACGTGCGAGGATAACAACCTAGGAAATTTTGATGACTACACCGCATCAGTATACTAAAGAGAATGCTGATATGACGGTCTTTTAGATGAAATGCCTAGTGTGGATCGAGGACCAGTCAGGCAGTATACGGGCTATTGCATTAAAAAGGCTAGACGAGGTCCTGAATACGATCCTGGTTACGTTGCATGCCCGCGTTAAACAATTTAACTGCAGTTATCAACGCAAGCTGTACATACAAATACAAACCACGAAACGAAGGCAGCTGGAATCAATCGAGTCCAACAAGTAGGTCGATCTCCTACAGGGTGCTCGCCGAATAGGATATGGACACTGTTACAAAGATAAAGGCGACAGAAGGGAACAGGCATAATGAAAACTTGGTATGAACGCTTATTCTATGTTGCCAATATAATGGAGCCCAACGAAATACGACTAACGAAGTTACGATACGGTTAAGATAAATTGAAGATGTAAGATAAAGAGACACAATTTCGTTTAGAGATTGGAGCTAACCTCATTATCGCCGGTGAGAAACATTAATGCACCATGATTGCAAGCTCAGATAGGCTACGATAAATTTCAGCGCTGCAGTGTCTGGGATAAGGTTTTAGGTAAACGGACAAAAAGTTGATGGGGATTGTTATGTTGCTGGGAACAGGAGTAAGTTAAAAGGACGTGATCTACTGGAATCTACTATATGTTGAAGTAGGGAGCGCTTAGTCTTATTGTTCATTACTTAAAACTGATCTAAGAGATCTCAGGAGAGTTGAACCAACTTTTAGAGTTCAAGAAGGGTCTGCGGCTTATCTTCGGAAGGTCGAGACTGATAGCTTTTACTGTACTCCCTAAATTTTCTGCGGAAATTGATAGGGTCGTAAAGGCAGCACCAGTGGTGATTCTAAGCTAGAACGGAAAATCTAGCCTTGCGTAGAGTTCTCTAAAGGAGTGAATTCATCATTGCAGGAAGATCAGTACCCAGTTCCAATAACAGAGTACAATTTCATTAAGTTGGACCAGAACCACTACTTCACGTAGGTTGATCCCTGCGAAGCGCATTTTCGTGTTTCAATAGACGCACGAGGCAGGAAATTTCTTATAATACACCGAGAGACTTATTCGCCAAGAATAGATCGCCATTTCGCATAGACTGTTCCAAGAATATTCCAAAAGATGGCTGATACAATAATAGCTAGTTTGGATGGTAGAGTTATATACTTGAACGACAATAATTCTCATAATAGGAAAAACACTTAAAAAATACTTATAGAGGCTCTGCTTAGACGGATTCGTGACTGTGGATTCAGGATCAGCGCTGAAAAATGCGGCGTTTAGATACATTTTAAAATTCATCATAAACGAGAACTGAGAATGCCCGATTCAGATAAAGTAGAATCTAGAAGAGAAGTGCATAAGCCGAGAGACAGAAGGTAAGTAAGATCATTTGTAGTGTTGTAATGTTGTATCACAGCATATTTGTACTAGAAGGGAGAAAAATTAAGTACCCATTTGACAAGTTTTCTGAGAAACGATGTACCATTCAAACAGAAAACAGTATGTGCTCAAAGTTTCAAGACGATGAAGAAAATTCTTATAGCAGATCTATTTAAAGAGCATAATCCTAATCTACCCGTATTAGTAGATGCCAATGCAAGCAAATGCTGAATTAGGATCACACTGATTCATAGCTAGCCTGACAGATCTGAGAAAGTGGTTCTTCGCGCAAACAAATCGTTGAGTCCTCCCGAAATAAACTATTCATAGATCGAAAAGTCTTTTTCTAGTATAAGCAGTGAAATAGTGCCGTTTCTATATGATGTACGGCCGAAGATTTACTTAGCGACAGATGATCGGTTATTGCTGACAATTATTGGAACAAAGTCCGTTTCCATCCGTTCCGCAAACAGTTTTCAATAAGTGTCAGCGGTGTTTCTACCGTATATCTTTGAAATCCTATTTATGTACTCGACGAACTTTCGTCGTGAGTCTTTGCAGTCATTTGCATGAAAAAATTAGACAGGTAATAGGTGCAGCAGAGTTAAAGATGTAAAAAAACATGGTTCCGTATTGTACCTTACAGTTGCGCAGGATCGGCCAATTCCGGATGAGCAGCCTTGCTTTTTCAAAATACATCGAGATTTCGCAAGATCGGCTAATGGCTAGACATATTCGGTTATCGTTGGTCTTCAGCGAAGTGATCAGGTGTATGTGAAATTATACCAATAATGGCCTTTTAAGCTGTCAGATACCAGTCACCGGGACGCAGCTGAGATGTTTGGAAGAAAATGAGATACAACATATAAAATCACCGTGAAAGCCGTAGACAAACAGAATGATTCGTCGAAACGTTCAAGCGTGCCCTTGTTTGGATACGAGATAGAACGAACGTACTGCATTACTATACAGATTGTCTCCGGTTGACATGAAGTTTCATAACATCTTTAAAAAAAAGAGTTAAATATTTTCGTAGAATTTGGAAATCAATAAACAAGAGCTCGAACAAAAAACTCGACAGGGACTAGATTCAATGGTAACCTCATTTATATCACAGTCTAAACAAAAATGAGACTATCAGCTAGAAGTTTACAGTATTGACGTCGACGGAATGACGTGGTCCGGCGTTTGGTGAAAGTTCGTTCGAACCCGATACCATATCTAACCGTTTTTGATACTTTTAGCTCGGTTTCAGCAAATACCGCTATTTGATCTTTTGTATAGACAGATGTACGTGTCAGTTGTAAATGGGACAGAAGCCCAGGACTAGGACGAGGTCTTTCGCACCAAGTTCGACAATCATACAACCATCTAATCACCGATTCCAATGAACGATCCATCAAGGAAAGCAAATAATGCCGGAGAGTGCAAACAGACCCCTATAGAATACAAGAGATTATTTAATCAATTGAATTTAATTAAAATTAACGCATAATCTAGTTAGAAGATGAACAATATTCCACACGTTCCACAAGAGCTAATTTGACGCGTACTCTAATTCGCGGTAATTTTCTTAAAAAATTCATTTTAAACTACGACGAGGCTAGGGTGGTCTCTTTTTTCCAACTCATTGAAGTTCGGCTTGTTTACGCGCAGGACCTTCGAAAGCGAAAAGTCGCATTGTCTTAGAGCTTTTACGTAAACTGTCACAAATAGTCTCACGAATAGGTTAACGTGGTTCAGTTGCGATAAACGGTGAGACCTGTAGCATAAAAAATTGTCTAGTATATTCATGCAACCTTTTATCTTAATAGTGGATAATTAGCGAATAGTTTCTTTGCATTTCGTATTATGCTGTGTAGACGTATTGCGATTTCCAAGAATAGAAAATAATTGATTTGTTGAGCTTTTTGCAATGGCACACGTTTCTCTCCGTTTAACAATCGGCGACAATCGGCGCCACTGCCCAAATCGTTTTATAAACATATTGAAAACGATATTTCAACGATTAGTCATAATTGTCGTCTGCAATGCGTTACTTTCCGCGCGCAAACAAAACCCTACTTTCTATCTCAATTTGTCACAAAAGTATGAAAAGTTTGAAATCTGAAATACATGTATCTGCTTCAAAAATTTTACCAATTACGTATAACAAAAGCTACGTTAAACGTGACAATACGACGCGAAGTATAGAAACCGATTTAAATGTTTGAAGATGTAATCAAGATTGACTACAATTTATTTTAGAAAGATCAACGCAATTCCTTGGGAAAAGCAGAAAGGAGCCTCGAATTTGTCCAAGGGAGTCTTTCAGTTTTATGCTTATGGTGGGTTTATACTTGCTTAGTATTAATATCTTGTTCATTATAATTTAATCACTTTTCAAGGTCTTTCGTTTTCCTCAACGAGCTATTGTTGTTCTTCAAGAATCGGTTTCTGTTTATTTGAACTGTTTTTTATTCCCGCGTGTTTTTTTATATGCAGTTTTGAATGAATCAAATGACAAAATATGCACTGTTTAAGGCCTAAGCCCACGAGAAATTTTAGACAAACGATAGCAAATTTCTAAAGGGCAAAGAAAGAGGGCATCCAACGAAGTGTAATATGTGTCTATCAGCAGACGCAAAATTAATGAACGTGCACTTATGACTGTCTACTGTCGCTACCGTCTTCACAGCAGCGCAGTTGTTTGAGACCACAGTCTAGAGCTGGATGCAACTAAGGTAGTGGGCAATTTTCCCAGTAGCAGAATGTGGAAATTCTTCACGAGACGGAAGTATTCCAAGCTACTCCTTCTAGGAGTTGTGTTCCCTTAAATAACCATACATAAGATCACAAAGAAGATTTCCTAGGAGGGCTGCGGATTTTGAAGCTCACGCAATTCTCCCTTTAATGCTCTGACCAAACTTTAACCAAACTGGCCCGATTCCTTCAAATCGATCAGTGTTCGTGTGACTCAGCCACTATAGCGACAGATAGTGCCTAATGTTGACCCACACCAACCTAACCCGGGACGACAACCTCCTCTTGTTGTCGAACGGACTACACTGATTAGGCCGCCATTCATCCTGTTCGCTTACCTTGTCGTTCTGATTTCGTTCACTTGCTACGCCCCGTCCGAAACTCCTTGCTAACAAACTGGGCATCAATCGAATGGATCTTGTCCACAAGTTGCCCCTATCGTTTGACGCATTAATATGAACGTTAGGGGGGCGTGTCAGTTTCGATAACGCGTCGTCAGCCTTTTTCTTTTAATTATACACGTTTCTTGTTTGTGTTGTGTGGATGTTCTTTACACTTCACAGCAGACTTAAGCAGAAGCAATTCCTTGCAGATTCGCAATTTGGCCTGGTAGGACCACCTATTATGTCTGTGAAGAAAAACTATTCAAAATCGTCAGAAAGACACCTTCTAGTATTAGTAGTAGTAGAAAGTAGTGTGCCAATTAATCACAAAATCATGATTTTTTTTCCCTAAAGGTACACAACTTCTTATTTAACGACCGTAATTCCACGAGTATATACATCAAGGATTAAACAATATGCGCCATATGTCTAGCTATACACCGTCCTATAATTTTAGAATAAAATAGTTCATTCAAGTGGTGCTTTATTGTTTCGAAAGCTCAGTTACTGGAGAAGCAGTACGGATAAGTAAAGAACTTTTTCCCTATTTATAGACTCGTACATATTTCACAGACGGATACACCCAATCCCGTCATCACCAATGGGTTAGATCAGTAGGCAGATGGTATAGAGGGTGAACATTCAGCGAGCCAACCTTACTTCGAGTATATCAACGATCAGATAGGTATAGTTAATCAATACCTTAATTTATCTCTAGTTAGACCCTATATGTATTTGTGCGTAGCCCCTTTTCTCATATACCAATATATAGCGATTATATCATGTGCAATGCTACGTACTCAAATACGAAAAAATGTCAGCAATCGGGCCCGCTACAACTGCTCATAACGGCCGCTAACAGCGGACGATATACAAAGGAAAAAAAAAAGATCAATTATGTGGTATAAGCAGAGCGACGGGCCTGCCCTATCACTCGTACATAGCTATTTTGCTATAAAGGAGCTATTCTCAGCACTATGTTGCATATTTCAACGATGCATTAGGACGGTATTAGGGAAGCGAGACGAACGAAATGGTTGAGGGCTGTGCAGTGGGGTAGGCCAAAATAATTTTTTTTTCCGAGCTACTAACACTTACACGCATGCACAGGTGATGCTACGACAATGCTACGTCGAAGTGTATTGTAGCTTTTAGCTAAGACAAAATGGAAGCTCACAGGTGGGATTTGTGCAAAGCTTGGAAAGAATAGGGATATTATGATTTATTCAGGGTTGATATATGCATGTCACTGTCGTTCCTATCCAGCAAACAGGTCTAGCTAGACTCGAGCCTACTCTCCAAATGTTCTATATATTTGCAGCGAAGATACGCTGCGCACGGGAGTTTAACGGGTATGCGATAAGGTAAAGGAAGCTCGTCCACGAAAAGTATTTCATTAATTGGTCTGATGTGTATCTGAGATTTATCCTGGGGAACGCATCGCGTTCCAGCTTCAGCTAGGCGGTAGCGAGTTGAGGTTGAATACGTGCATGCACAGGCAAACGTACACCTGAGTGGCGTGGTCGCTAACGGCCCTCAAATTGATTGTGAAGTTCGGAAATCTGGGAAAGAGGCATTTCATCTTCCAGACCCTAACGAGCACATTCTATTAACATCTAACGCTAACAAAATATAATTAACTTTGAGTCAATTGTTGTTCTGCAGCCATCAACCATCAGCCATCCAGAGCCATCAACTAAATACAGAGGAAATTGTGCTTCAGTTAATAGAAACTGATAGACATGTGATAAACGTTCTCCTTTAAGTACGCATAGGTACTAATCAGACTCAATAGGCAGATGATCCGTGTGCTCTAGGGCATCGAGAGAAGTATTAAAAGACAAAAAATGAAAACTTGGTAGTTAATATATTATTCTGTTGCGACAACAGGTCACAGCTCAGATAGCACCACAAGACCACAGAAATTACATCGTTCGGTAATCTACGTGAGACAAACAATCGTTAAAGGCTAAAGCAAGCAACGTATTACCTGTTGTTGACAAGACAAAACTTTATTACGTACGTTATATTATTATATACCTCTGTACACTGACTGTCAATTTTGATTTGTATACAATCAAAACTATATAAAGGTCGTACTGCACGTTTCAAGGTCATGGTAGACCGTGCACCTCGTTGTCGTATCGAACTAAATCGAAAAATGCCCTTCCTTTCTGACCATTTCAGTTTTCCTTTATTTCAAAACAATGTAGTGACTCACAAAGAGAGCACGTCATGGCGAAAACCGTTCTCATACGTATAGCTAAGGATAGACTGACCAGAAAATACTGTGCCTAACCGAGTTGGAAGACGAGACCCAGAACCTACTTGGGGGCTGCGTCCAACTCGACGCCCAACGAAGCTTATCGGCTGGTGAGACTATCTATAGCGAACAAAACATCCGCATTGCTTTCATACGATACTACAAACCTAATAAGTTGCGATGCAATTTCTATTAAGCCTGGCGTTAAATCACGCCACGCCTCTCACTGCTCGCGTGAGAGTTCTCGATGACTGGTTATTTAGAACAGTGAAATCAATTTTTGGGTAGACTGGTTTGCCTACTTGTGCTCTCGCAATAAGCGTTTCTATCCTGGCAGAAGTTAGCACACGGCGCGAACACTCTTCTTATCTTTGTCGATCGGCGCGCATCGAACAGGCACACTTCGCCTTCACATGAGATCTCTGCAACTATTTTGTGTTTGATATTTGGTGGTAATAGTAATTCGAACGAAGGCAGGGTTTTTCCTTTCTGATTAGACGTATTTGAAAGAAAACTACGCGATTATTTGACGTTTGGGAAACGTTACAAAAACATTACGCGGACCTAGGATAAAAATTAAGATTGCTTTAAAAGACAAGGTTTATTTAAAGCTCATTTGGTAAAGAAAGCATAACTGGATAACAGTTCAATTTTATGTATGATATATAAAGCTTTCTGTTCAAAATCGAT